GGAGTCATCATGACGGAGGAGTAACACATCTTCAGGTGAACGGCGCGGAGTGGTCGGTCGATAGAAATAAATTTTTTCGATTGTTTTGCATTTTGTTTCTGCCATTTACTGTATTATTTGTATATGGATGTATCTGTATTTTCTGTTACCCCTTGATATTTCGCTGATGTTATTATTATTCTGTTTTTCATTGTTTCTATTTCCATGCTTTACTGGTTAAGGATGTTCGATGCGGCGCTGCGCGAACGTACCGAAAAGTTTCAAACAACATCTAGTATTGTTCCTCCGTTTGTTCGTTAAAAAACCCGAACAAGTACGCAAAGCGGTACGGAAAACACTGCCAATTTAGTAACTACACGAGGTGCAAACTGGAAGTTCTAAGTACCAATTAGGTCTTTGAAACAGTGTCGAAACCGGTACTACTTTTTGACTTGGGTTATTTCACAAAACACGGATACAATTGAGAATCAAATACAACTTATCACAACAAAAACAGTTCATTTAACGCTGCCGCTCCTTCCATGGTACTGAGTACGGAAGCGGCGTTGCCCCGTTGGATTTCCAAGGACAAGCGTTGACGAAGAAACTCGTGAAAGCGAGGTTCACCCGTTTGTTGTGCGAGCCGCTTACCGATTTCTTTTACTATGCTGATGGATGACTTGCACCATGGTCCGTGTGTTTCAAAGGCTAATGCTGCGAAGTCATATCGTCCTTCCAGGTACGAGTACAGCTGGCGTTTCTTATTTTCCGCCTGCTCGGCTGCCGATCCCGCGGTTACCGACGTGGACTTTAAATGGGATTTAGCTAAGGTGTCCACACGGGTCACGTCCCATGCTAAACACATGCCGCGTTTCCATGCGAACGTGGTGCACCCATCGGGGCGACGCTCCGACGTGTGGGATGTTCCTCGGGGTTCCAGTTTTTCCGCCGGGTTCTGGCGTTGATTGAGCCAGGAGTCGAGCCCTGTTTACATCACCATCACGAAAAACACCCAGAAGCGTAGACAGCGATGCGTTTTCAGAGCGGTAAATCCCGGGTCCGTTGTGTCTTTCGAAAACTGGATTCTGGAAGATCAGTGAGACCCGTGTTGCCTTTCCACACCTCTAGAGCTTCAGAAACGTTGACGGAGGGGTAATCAGGAAGCAGCTTCGACATTATATCGGATGCGGAGTGAATCGATGCCAAGAAGGCAGGGAATGCTAATTCTTCCGCTCGACGTATGCCGATACAGCCATTGTATTGTCCTACGATGTTCGCTATTCTTGAATATATTGACTTTGGCACTTTGCTGTCTGTTTACTAACGATTGCAACTGCATGCCAGAAAAATGCTTTCAACACCCTTCTTACAGGTCAGTGTGCACTTCGTATACAAAGAAAACTATTTGTGGCAGGACAGCTAGCCATTTGTTACCAAGATCCAAGCCAGAATTTATCCAGGAAAACCAGGAAAACGACTTGCAAATAAAGGTAGAGTGACATTGATTTACAAGTTAGCGTAAACAACGCGCGGCGGCTGCATATCGCCAGCGCTGGCATCAGCTGTCGGTAACGAGACTACCCGAAGTAATTAAGCATACCATATGGCAACGTAGCATCTGGACTGACCTATCACCTTGGTACAATCTGATTTCAAATAAGCGCATTCAGCTGTTTTAGCGAAGACCATTAATTTTATATACGCCGTTTGATCGAAGAAAAAATTATTACTACAGTATATGTCGAAATGCTATGAAATAATTCCATAATATTATCTGTAACCTGCAGATAATATTCTTATCTCTGTATTATCTGTAATAATATTATCTGTCCGTTGTTATAAAGATTTTGCCGAATTTTTACTCCAGCTCCCAAAGATTTTAGAAATCAGATGCACTCGGATGCCTGACCATTAAAAAAACGAATGTAAAACTCTAAAGCTAAAGACTAACGAAGATGAGATTCCCATGCGTAACGCGTTCAACACGTTTTGGACTAGACGAGCCACTTCTCTACGCTAGTAATCTACACCGGTTGATATCCAAGCTGTTGCTGGTCTTTCTTGAAGATCAATTTCAGGGGGAACGGAGGTTCGATGATGGTGACTGTCTTTCTTATGTTGAAGCATATGATCCCAGTGCAGATCGATGGATCACAAAATGTGAGGATTTTTCGGTGCTACAAAGTCAGTTTTCAACAATGCCAATCAGACTGACCAAGGTCCGGTCACCGGCTCCGAAAAATTTCATTTCTTGGAGGAAGACAGAGTAACCCTTGGGTATGCTTTAAAAAAATATTTTCATCGGCCATGGTTTAAGTGGGCGTGGCTAAACTTAATTCCAGTTCGTTAATACATAACAGCACTACGTATTGGGAATACCTTAATATTGTACAGTATAATGTCCGAGGTTTTTGACCAATACGTGTAATCAGTAGTCAGACTTTTGGATTCTTCTAAGAATTACAGTTAAGCAAATCACCGAGAAGAATCATATAGTACAATAAGTACTAGTTTGTATTGGGAAATGGGAATACACCCCACGATAGAGTATCATACATATGTGTTGGCACACACGCGTTGTCACTACCCACTAGTTTCACTATTTTTATTAAATTTTTCTCAGTTATTAACACCAGTAATTTTAGAAGAATTAGAAAGGGTCGGACTACTGATAACACGTATCTGTTGCAAATCTCTGACATTTGTAAGCTACACTGTTACGCTATTCCCAATACATAGTGCTGAATGTATTAACGCACTGCAATTAAGTTTAGCTGTCCACTTCACCATGGCCGATGAAAATATTTTTTTAAGTTTGCACAAGGGTTACTCTGTCTTCCAGCAAAAAATTAAATTTTTTGGAGCCGGGAGCCGGTGACCGGGCCCTGGTTAGAAAAGTCTATTTCACCTATTCGACGTTTTGGTGTACTGAAATCTGAAAAACTGAGAAACGATTCGAAACTCTTTTCAGGCGCAATGAACACGGAACGTAGTTGTGAGACCGGGATCACTAGCGTTCACGTCAGTGGCGCTATGCCTGTGGCGCTACGCCTTAGGATTACGTGTCTGTGTTGTGTCTCTTCTGATTGGCTTGAGTTGTGTTAGTGGGCGCGGCATAGCACGTGCTGCACAGTGTTACACACTGTTGAACGGGCTCCACGCTTTACGATCGAGCTGCGCCGATCATTATTGATTTTTCTGTTCTCCAGACTTTTCAATATTAAAAAGTCAGCGATTTACGGTGCGACGTTTGTGTTTCCGCATAGCTCGCGATCCATATCGTATCGCTCGCTTCCACGGGATCTATTCCGTTTAGGTCTCCGTATCTGGATTACAGTTGGATCTAGCATTAGATGGTAGCAGAGCCGACAGCGGTTCTCTGATTTGATTTGTGTCAGGCAAAGTTGGCCTGTTATTTGATGTGGAAACCCGACCAGTAAGGCACAGGTCTATCCGACAGCAAAGCGCACACCACAAGCGGTGAACTGCCTCATTTGACGTGGATTTCCAGCTCTGGTTTTCGGTACAGTGTCTTCAGCGAAGACCTGTGCTGTTTCCTCAGCTGAGCAAGAGTCCAAGAGTTCAGTCGTCAGCGTTCCTCGGTGTAGAGTCTTCAGCGAAGACCTACACTGGTGTCGCTGATACTCGGCAAGGATTCAGCGAATCCTAAGCCGTGGGCCACAAGCGGCGAAGCGCTAAAAGGGGCGCACGGGAAAAGACCAGATCAGACTCCTCCAAACTGGAGTAGAGCGTAACTACTGTTGCTACGGCAGTCAGCCGGCACAGTAACCGACCAAAAAGCGTGCGGCACAACCGTTACGGTAAAACCGGCGGCAGCGCGGGAACGGACAGTGGAAGAAGAATCTGGATCATCTGGATCGATTCTCGTGGAAAGGACGAGGAAACAGGTAGAAAACCCGTTATTAATTACGGGATTGGTTAGATGGTAAAATTCTCAATTTTCATTGGTCCGTACTGAGCTGAGCGTAGATGTAGGCGGAGTTTTGCACACGGCGCGCATGTCTGGCCGTTGACCGTGACGTCAGGCAGATATAGATTTTAAGAGGAACGACGTAATTGGTCAGTTATCTGAGCTGTGATTGGTCGAAATTTGAACTGAATAATTTGAACTAGCTGACCAATCAGAACGACGTAAACAACCCGAATCGGGATTTTCCGTTGAACTTTAGCAGTAATGGGAAATTTGATCTGAGATGAGATAATTGAGATGAAAAGTGACCTTTAACTCGAAATTGAGCTGGAAAGTGACCTTTTGAGTTGAGTTGAGTCAGAAAGTGACCTTTGGGACCAGAAGTTGACCTTTGACTTAGAAAAGTGACCTTTACCAAAAAGTTGGAATTGATCGGATTGACCTATTTAAGTGACCTTTATGATTCGAAATTGACAAACGGTGACCTTTACCGAAGTGAAATTGAACCGAATAGTGGCACAGCGATATCAGCAGCTGTTGGACTTCATTCGCTAACGTGTTCCAAACTGTAAAAGCTGTTTCGAAGTTTTGTCCGAAAGTGACCTTTTAGGGCAAATCGCTCGAACTTTTTATCGAAAAAGTGACCTTTACACGGGACTTAGTCGAAATTTTTCAGTCAAAAAGTGACCTTTAATAAGGACTTAGAAAATTTCGGAGGTACAGAGTGACCTTTAGGATTATTGAATAAACCATACAATAACGTGTGTGTGAGAACAATTGGCAGGAGCGTCCAAGTTATCCGATCAACATGGATAAAGACCAAGAGGAACCGACATCTAACAGCAGTCAGGGAAGCAAAAGCTCCCGAAGCTCACAGCAAGGTGCACCAAATCCGTACAAAAAAGATTTGTACCCGTACTCGCGTCCAGTTGGACACGAGCGGAATACTCGAGCGCCCAAGGCATTTGAAAAGAAGGATTCACGAGGCTCTGATAGTACTTATCAGAAGGCGCTCGAGGCGGTCGCCAATCAGGAAAGCTCTAGTGACGACCAGAAACACACTCCCGCGCCCACAGCGGGAAGTGACCCGATGAACCAGACAAAGGTCACTGGGGAGGAAAAATCCACAGAAAGAAGAGCGGAAGCAGTGGCAGCATCACAGCTGGATGCTACCACCAGCGGAACAAACGAGCAGGATAAAAATGTAAACCTGGCCCAAGTGGAAGATGGAAACATAAAGGTCACCGAAGAGAATTTGGCTGAACTGGGACTGGATGACCTTTCATTGGACGATAAGACCGCAGGTGATGACCTTTGGGCAACTCCAATGGTCTCAGACGAATCGAACGAGTCCTACTTCACGGATGATGAAGCAACGATGAATATGTCTTTTCAAACTGCCATGAAGGAAGCTGACCGGGCTGAAGGTATGATACCATTCAAGGACATACCGGAGCACCTCATTGAACGGACAAAAACTGGAAAGGTCATCAGTGTACGACCACCGTCACCGAACAGTCCCACGTCAACTTTGAGGAGACGTGTCAGTGAATTGGAAAATGAACTTGAAGTCAATGAACGTCAAGCGGATAAGCGAAAACAGGAATATCGGGAAAGACTGACGACACTTGAAGCACGCCTGTTCGATCTGGAGCAGCAACAGGGTGACCTTCAAAGTGCCGCAGACGGTTGGAAAGTGAAATATGAAAGACAGAAGGAATTGGCTGATGAATATTTGAAAATGGCAGATGACAGAGAAATGGAAGGTCATCTTGCAGTTAGTGACCTTAATGAGAGCATGTCAGAAGAATCAGCGGAAAGGTCACGGCACTTAGCCGAATTGAAGGATGAATGTGACTCACTGAAACTTAAGGTCACCGAAGCGGAAGCCAAGCGAGATGAATACGCGGCCAAACTCGTCGACGCTACTCAACGATTGTTGACAAACACCAATGAGGTGTTTAAGCTGAGAAACGAATTGAAGTTACGGGACGAGAACATCGGAACCCTTCAAAAAGAATCACAGGATCATCAGAGGAGAGCCGACGACGCTGTCAAAGTGGCTAAGGACCTGAGGGAGCTTACAGCCACTGAAGGTGTGCGGTTGAAGAACGAAATTAAGCAGGTGATGGAAGAGAACAAGTCGTTGAAAGAAGATGTTCAAAAGGTCACCGAAGAGAATACCGAGTTGAAAAAGACTGCTAAGACAATTGCCGAGCAAGGCATGAGGTGGGAACACGAGGCACACCTCCTGGATGAAAAGGTCACGGTACTTGAATTGAAAGATAAGGAGTGGCAACAATCAGTCCACCAGAAGACGCAGGAGATTATCAAGCTCAACACGGAGCTGATTGATATGACCCAAACGGTGATGACAAGAGAAGATGAGGTCACCCAGACGAAAAACCAACTGAAAGCAGCAGTCGAGGAATACACGAAGCTGGAAAGGGATGTGACCCAGTTGGCGGAACACATTAAAAAGGTGGAGAATGACACTGAAAAGGTCATTCAGGAGAAGACTTTCCAACTCCACCAACATATGTTAAAGGTCAAGGAGGAGAATCAGAACTTGAAAACGGAGAAAGAGGAAGTCCAGTTCAAAGTCCGTCGCCTTGAGGATGAGAATAAGGCGCTTGTTATGTCTAATAAGCACAAAGATGAACAGCTTCTGCAATATGGAGTCAGGACTTCAACAGTGGAGTCGCCCCGCCCAGTTACAGCAAGGCGCACGAAACGGGCACGGGCAAAGCTTCCACTTTGATATGCCGCTACGAACCGGTACTGGCAGAGGAAGTGTCAAAAACGAAAAGGACGGGGAAAAGGTCAAGGATGACAAGGAGCCACCATCGGAAACTTATTCCCATTCGAATCGTGGTGATCCCACCCAATTTCATCCACATATTGAAACGAAAATCTTCATTGATGAAAGGAAACAGGATAGACCGTCTAGCCGGCAAGAACGCCCAAGGAAGTCCCGCTACGGAAAAGCGAAGCGAAATAAGGACGATGACGATAGTGACTCCAGTACGGCAGAAGACAATGATGCGACACAGAGATTAGTGAACGCACTCCAATCGATGGGGCGCAAGACAAACCTAGTGACCTTTGATGGAAGTCGCGACGCAGTGAATGGGTGGACACAATTGGTCAAAGACACCCAACGGACATATCATCTCACTGACGATCAGATTTTGATTGAAATAGCCAGCGCAGTCAAAGGACCGGCGAAGACCTGGTTCGAAGGAGAGAGAGAAATCGCACTCCAAGAAGAAACGGAATACACCATTACAGAATGGATGGCCAAGTTTAAAGATGAATATGGAGACCGTGACGAGGAAGTTCTTGGCTTACGAGAAGCCATGGCAAGGAAATTTGACCTCGGAAAGGAATCGCTTGATCAGTTTTATCAAGCGATTATGAAACTCTAAGGCGAAGAGGATCATAACTGAAAAGCAGGCAGTCGGATTCCTGATCGAAGGATGTAGAGTGGATGGTGACCTTTATAAGGCACTACGCACGCAACAGTGCAGGACTCCAACCGAAATCAAAGATTTCTTCCGTCACTGGTCAGCGGGAGAAGATAAATATAAGGCGCCTAAAGGTCAACGTAATCAGGAATACGTGACCATCCGCCAAGGCCAAGTTGAAAATGTACCGCAACAGAGGATGGCGGCTGCACCAGTCCAACAGCCAGTCGAGTACCGTAGAGAGGCGCCGGCCCAAGAGGTCACAAAGGAAGTGACCTTTATCGACAGTCAGACCGGGCAACCGTTAACATACGCAATGGTGGCAGCGATACAGGCAGCGGCCCAGGTGAGGCCAGTAGCCCAGAATGTGGCTCCCCAGAATGTAGCCCAGCCGCCACCTCAGAATATGCCTCCGAATATGGGGTTACCACAACAAGGAGGGGGTAACGGAAACTTCGGCGGAAACGGATACGGAAATGGAAACTGGAATGGAGGTCAGGGAACTTCCAGAACCAGGGACGAGGTCAAGGTCAAGGAAACTTCAGAGGGAATCAACAGCAGAATCAAGGATCACGAACAGAGTTCAAGTTCCAGATGATTGATGGATGGGTGGCGAACAACGTGCAGATGTGCCAGTACTGTATGTACGGCAACCATCAGACACAGGGGTGCAAGTTCGCCAATACACCACCAGAACAGAACCCGAATCTGTTTGCCTTTAACGAGTGGCAACGCCTCCGAGCTATAGGTGGCTGGCGCCCAGCGGTCGCAAACGGATATGACCTCATCACCCAATGGTACCAACATAAGGCAAACTTCCAAAACCAACAAGGGAATGGAAACGGGAACTACGGAAATGGAAATGGCGGTGGCCAGAATGGCGGCTTCGGCCGTGGAGGCTTCGGCCGCGGCGGCTTCAGAGGAAGAAACAGAGGCTTCGGCCGCGGAAACTTCAGAGGAGGCCAGAACAATGGCGGCGGCCAAGGAAACTACCAACAGGGTGGCGGCCAATATAATAACGGCGGCGGACAGAATCCTAACCCGGCAAATAATATCGGACAACAACAAGCAAATGTGCAAGGCGTACAACAAGGTGGGGCGCCGGTTCAGGGAAACGGGCAAGATCAGTAGGCACCGGTGAGCCTACTGATCGACCCGACCCTAAACCACCGGATAAAAGGGAAAGGTCACCACTGCAGAATGGTACTGCAGTGAATGTGACCACTGCGACGGCTATATGGATGCCGTCAGCGAAAAAGCAAAGTGGACCGGCTATATGGATGCCGCAACCACAAGAAACGGCTAGATGGATGCCGCCACAGCAAAGAGAAACGGCTATATGGATGCCGTCATCGCAAAAAGGAAATGGAACGGTTATGGGGATACCGTCACAAGGTGAAAGGTCACCGCAGAATGGTACTGCGAGTGGAAATGTTCAAGTGGATAAAAGGTCACCGCAGAATGGTACTGCGAGTGGAAGCGCGCAACGGGACCAAAGGTCACCGCAGAATGGTACTGCGAGTGGAAATTGTCGTGACGGTAGCGCGACACTGCAAAAAGTGCAGCAAAATGAAAGGTCACCGTATTGCAGCGAGAAAGTGCTAGCTGAACGTCGTGCATTACGTAATGCCAAGATTCAACAAGCGCTGTTAAACCAGAAGAAACCACAAACTGATACCGCAGAAGAAGTGGAAATGCACCACGAATGGTTCCGGAAACAGATAAATGGCAAATCGAAAGACCAAAATTCACCACCGCAGAACGATACTGCGCAAGAGGGAAATGAGCAACACGCGAAATTCCGGAAATACTTGGCAGGAAATGATAAAGCGAATGAGCCAAGTTGCGATTGTTACGGGGAGCCAAAGCCAAAGTTTTGGAATTGTTCAGAATCCGAAGAAGAGAAGCGAATAAGGCAAGAATGGATTAAGCAAAACATCACCGCCATTAGTAAAGATGAAAGGTCACCTTCTGTTGGAAAAGTCCAAGTTAAAGGTCAAGGAGCGAGTGCGAATGCGAAAGGTCACGGCGACAGCGTCGTGTTAAAAGGTCAAGAAACAGACTTGACACTGCGAACAGCGCAGCAAAAGAATGGCGAATTGGCACAACAGAACTCCGATGACTCACTTGTAGATGCAATAACGCTGCAACAGGAAGGAAATCTGGCAAAAGTGGCCTACAGACCGAATGGGAATCACGGGATGTGGATACCCGTAACGCCGAAGGCAAAGCAGAAAAGCGAAAATGTCACAAGAGGACTACTGGGACATGCAACAGTTGCGAACGCAATGTGAAAGAAAGCGACTAGAAGAGTTGGTTACCGGGAAACCAGCGCAAGGGTCACCGAACCCAGTCCCAGCATTCAATCCAGAGGAATATAAGAAGACACTTGCTGACTGGAATTATTCACGTAATGCTCCGCCACAGGATAAACCGCCGAATTACGGAGAAAAAGTCCCCTTACAAAAGCTGACAAACGGCGGATTTGTCATGAAGCGCAACGAAAGGTCACAGGACTTAGCGCAAAATGCACAAAAAGGACGGTCAAACGAGATGGCGCAAATGCAACAGGGTGGCGCAGTTGAAAGGTCACGGGACTTATCGGAGGCACTGCAAAAGGATGCCAATGACAAGTCACCAGCCCGAACAGACGGAATGTCTTCACAAATCGATCCGACGAAAACGAACAATGAAGTGTCTGCAAAGGTGATTGAATGGATGACCGAAAAGGGATATAATATGGTCACATATGAAAGGTCACCAGAGGAGATGAGAGATGGTGAAGAAGACGAATTGAACCGAGCTGACCAAATAACAAATGAAGTCATTGAGAAGCTGAGAGATAAACGAAATGAAAACCGTAAAGAGGAATTGATCCATCAGACGATAAATGAAGTGACTAAAGGTCACATGGATAGCACAAAAGCAAATGAGCAAGTGCAGAATGTGGAAAAGGTCACCGGTGATAAAATGGCTACAGAGAAGCGAACAAATAAAGAAAAGCCGCGAAAATATTACGATGTTCGGACTAACGTTCCACACAGGATTGATAAGCTGAGCGAAATACTGAAAGGTCATAGCACTCCAGCAAAAGGACAAGTGCTTTCCGATATGGATCCGGGACCAGTATCGCTCATCCCTGTGAAATGTAAGATTCACACGTTGAAAATTCAAAATGGAAAACTGCCCAAGAGAATTGAAGCATATACACACGAAGTGAAAGTGGGAGACATAAAGGTCAACGCAATGTTGGACACCGGCGCTGAGACGTCGCTGATCAGCAAACCGTTTTGCGAGAAGAATGGACTTCATATGCTTCCGTTGCCACCAGACAGACTGGTAAAGATAAACGGAATTAGCGGAACGTCGGGATTCCTGGTGACGCACTACTGTGTAGCACCGGTGACCTTAAGAAAGAAGACAAGCGAACATTCATTCTACGTCCGACCGAAATGTGATGACGTACAAGTCCTATTGGGATTTGATTTCTTGGAAAAGAAATTTGTACTGATGGATAATGAAGGTGAAGAAGAAAAAGAAGATGACCCAAAACCAGTTGCCAAAGTGCAAGTCGGAAAGGTCACCGAACTTGCAAAACAGGAAAAGGCTCAAACTGTTAATAAAGCGCTAATCCCAGTACCAGAGGCACCGGGAAACGAAAAGAAAAAGATGACGCGAAAAGAATTGTCACCATTTGAGCAGTTGCAAGTAATCCAGCAGGAGATCGAAAAGACATTAAATCGGACCTTGCTGACACAGAAGGGAAGAGAAAAGGTCATCCCAGTACCAGAGGCACCAGGAATGACAAAAGTGCAGCAGGAAGAAATTATCCCAGTACCAGAGGCACTGGAAACGAAATGAAAATGGAAAAGTCGGAAAAGTTATCCCAGTACCAGAGGCACTGGGAAAGGAAGACGAAAGGTCACCAGCAACTGAGAACTTGGAACGAGAGCGTAATTCGAACCTTTTCGAACCACGATCTGCTACCCAAAATGAAAGGCTACCAGATAAAACCAAAGAGGAAGTAACAGAACGTGAATCTCAAAAGGAACCCTTTTTCGAACCACGACCTGCTACCGAAAGGTCACCAACGATTGAAGAGATAATTGCCACACAGAAAGAAGCGGCAGTTGCAGCGAAACAATCTCTTGTGCCAGACATGGAGTGGGCAAAGCCTATCCCAGTACCAGAGGCACTGGAAATAAAGACGGCTAAAGTGGGGAAGGATAAAAAGAGTGAAAGGTTACGAGTTTTGAAACGAATAGTTGAAGAGAAACAGATGTTTACAAGCGAAATCCGCGACAAGGCACTCGAACAATTGAAAGGTCACCGAACAGAAAAAGAACCAGAGGTTATTGAAATATCCTCTGAGGATAAAAGCGTGACTCCAATCGAATGTGAGGAAGATACCACAGTACAGGAACAGGTTAAACCTGAAGCGAGTCAAAGGACATTAACTCCAGAAGAACGAGCCGGGAGTTGTCACCACGGTTACTTTGAGGATCCGTGTAGAGTGCAACCACAATGGGAATGCGCGGAGTGTTGTGAAAATGCCTCTCAAGATGACCCTTCAGAATGGCCAAGATGTAATGCCGCATTAGCAGACCTTAAAGGTCATGCCCAAAAGAAAGCGAAAAGCATCATGCGGACAAACGAAATGTGGAAACCACACATCGAACGGTATCACTGGAATAGATATCGAACGTGGTTGTCATGTGTGGAAAGTTTTATAATTGGAAGAGGCAGATGGCTAAACCATTGGTTGCAACGTGTCGAGAAAGGAATCCAAGATCCTCTCGATCCGGTAGCAACAGAAAGGAGATTTGAACGAGAGATAGAAGAAATGACCGAGGAAGGAGAAATGTGGGAAGAAGCGAGAGTTGACCTTTTCTGGGACTTCCGTGTGAACCACATGTATAAAGGAGAAGGGAGAACGATTATTTTCCCGGCAGGACTTGGCACACCCGTCTACGAATCACTTGAAGTGTACTACAACGCGTTAAAAGAGGGAAACGAAAAAGCATTCGAGAAATACTGGAAGAAATTCGAGGAAGAAATCCCCAAATTTGACGTAAAAGAGATGCGAGAACTACAGGTTACCCGGAAAAGAAGGTTACCGGGATTAGTGCAAAAGAAAAAGGTGACCTTTGCACCAGATCCAGATGGAGTGGACTACCCCGAACGAGGCGGTGATACATGGTGCATGTATGAAACGATTCCAAATGATGAATGGGTCACCGAAGAGCTGATGGCAAACTGCATCTTTGTTGGTCCTAACCGACCTAAAGGTTACGAAACAGTTCAACAGGATGAAACCAATAAAGGGACTGTCAAAGAAGCAGAGAAAGAGGAACCAGCTCAAGAGATAGCCGAAGGACAATCGAACGAAACAGAAGAAAGTTCAAAGTCGGCTTTCGACATTGCGCAGATGTTAACGGACAGAGGCGAAATGTGGAAGAAGTTTAAAGAAGAAGTTGAACGAATATCGAATGAACAGCAAAACCCAGTAACTGAGGCAAAAAACGGGGAAAGGTCACTCGATAACGGTGAGGAATGTCCGCCGGTCGAGTGGACCGAAAAGCCATTAACGAGTCCCGAAGAAATAAATGAACTGGAAAAGTCAAAATCGGACGAAGAAAGGTCAAACTCCGACCAATCAGAAAGGTCACCAACGAGAATTCGAGTAGTAAGGAGTCACCCAAGAGTCGCTGCACGAAATGGACGAAAGGCAAAAGAAGGGGACAAACCTCTGCTCAAAAATTCGAAAACGAAAAAACTTAGCGATTCGCGAGAAAGTGACCTTTCATCGGAAGACGAGGGAGTTGATGAACGCCCACTCGAAAAGGCTGACAAAGGTCAAGCCACTGCACAGGAATATGAGAGCAGTAATTCGGATTCAGAGTGGACGAGTTCAAGTGACAATTCAACAACTTCGGAAGATTCAGGTGTAAGTGACCTTTCGGAGCAAGAGGATTTAATGGACTTGGATGAGGATGACGAAGTAGATGAAGAAAAAGAAAAGGATATTAAAGTCAGAAGATTGAAAGTGGAAAAAGCTAGAATGTCGAAAGACGTGATTAAAGTCTACAGTGATCAAAGAATTAAACTGAAACCGTCAAACTGCACACGTGTAAAGGTCAAGATGGGAAAATATGCACCGGCTCAAAACAAGTTGATGTTTACACCGGTCCCACAAGTGGAAACGGAAGTGCAACCATTGGCAGGGGTGACGGACCACAGGGAAAATACTTCGAAATCGTCATCGCGAATCATAGTAGCAAATACCGAATCGTGAAGAAAAATCAGCTTCTCGGCTATGTTGAGCCGTATGAACATATGGAGAATGTAAAGGTCAACGCAGGGACAGTAAAGAACGTACTCGAAGACCCTGAGGTGGACGATACAACGAAAGCTGAACTTACAAAGATAATCGAAAACTTGAAATTGGGACCTGACCTTACCCAAGAGCAGAAAAACGACGTGTACAACGCATTCTGGGAATTCTGGAAGGTCTTACCCACATCAAAGAAACCGTATGGAGATGTGAAAGGGGTCACCCACGTAATCGATACGGGAGATGCGAAACCAGTAAAATGTAACCCGGCCAGAACGAGTTGGACAGGCCGTGAGTTTATAACGAAGCATATCGAAGAGATGTTGGCACAAGATGTAATCGAGCCGTCAGACGCCGAGTGGAGTTTCCCAGTCGTGCTGGCAGTAAAGAAAAATGGCGACGGAACAATGGGAACGCGATTTTGCGTCAACTATATCATGCTTAATAAGTTAACAAGAAAGAACAATTATCCGCTACCGAACCCAGATGAATTGCTCGATGCATGCGCAGGCAACAAATATTACGGGAAAATGGACTTGCAAAGTGGATTCTGGCAGATCCCAATGGATCCAGCGTCAATCAATAAGACGACCTTTGTAACGCAAGATGGAATGTACCGGTTCAAAAGAATGCCATTTGGAGTTTGCAACGGACCAGCAACATTTCAATTGTGTATGGATAAAGTTCTCTCGAAAGCGAAAAGAAAGGGTTGCGTTTTCGGGTACATTGACGACGTAATCTTCGCCGGAAAGACTTGGGCGATCTTCATGCAGAATCTGCGAAATGTCTTAATGAGTCTGGTTGAAGCGGGATTCACGATTAAACCAACCAAGTGCGAATTTGGAATGAGACAAATGGGATTTCTGGGTCATATACTCAGCGAAGACGGAATATTCGTATGGACCCGGAAAAGGTCACCGCGGTCTCCGAATTCAAACGGCCTCAGACTGAAAGACAACTAAGGTCATTCCTTGGACTGGCGAACTATTATCGCAAATTCATAATGGGATACGCACAGAAGACTTCCCACTTATATGAACTGCTGAGACAAGATAAGCACGTGAAAAAGGACTGGATGGCAGTACATGAAGAAGAGTTCAATAGTTTGAAGAAGTTGTTGTGTGAAGGTCCAGTACTGGCAAAGTTTGACCCCGCGAAACCGACCGTCATTGAATGCGACGCGAGCAAAGAAGGAATCGGAGCCGTACTGTCACAAGATGGACATCCGATCGCGTACGCCAGTCGTGTCTTACATGGAGCGGAGAAAAATTACGGTGTAACGGAATGGGAATGTCTGGCAGTTGTGTTCGCTGTCAGGAAATTCAAGCCGTACATTGATTACGCAGAGTTCACCGTAAGGACGGATCATCAGGCGCTGACCAATCTGCTGAGGTCAGAGACGAACAAAGTTGGAATGAACCCGCGTTTGACAAGATGGGCAATGGCACTACAAGGTCACCAGTTTAAAATTGAATATAAACCGGGGAAATATTGCGACAACGCGGACGCGTTATCAAAACGCCAATCGAAGGCCCGACGTGTCAAGAAGAGGAATTCGATGAGATTCCAAACTTCGAGGATTACAAGAAGGAGTTTGATACGAAGGAACCAGCAATTGAAGTTGGACAGCTGTTCCTGCAGATGGTGGAACAGAGGGGGAAACGATTAAAGGTTACTTCAGCTACGGCGAATGAGTCGGCTGAAATAGAAGCTAATGTGAATCGTGTAAAAAGTTGGTTGCCCACCGTTAGTGACTTAAAGGTCACCGGACTTGAAGCAGAGGCCGAAGTTCATAATGGAAAGGTCACTGGACTTGATAAAGCAGCGGAGAAAGGAGATGACCTTTGGGAAACGGACAAAGTTACACAAGCGTTGAACGAGTGTCCAATAAAGTTGCTGAGATTCCCAAAACAGACGAAAAAGAGGTACAAACCGCTACCGCGATGCAAGGTCATCAGAGATTGGAACGAACTCAGTACAGCAACAGTGCGCATCGTTAACCTGCAAGGTGACGAAGAAGAGGAGGATGACTCCAATCTACAATTGCGAAACAAACAATTGAAAGATCCCCATCTGGCAATGATCATAGACGAATTGGAACACCTACCAGACGCGGAAACAAGATCGAAATTTGAAGTGCATTACCAGTTATGGAATGGTATATTATACCGAGTAAAGGATAAAAATGGAAAACTTGAAAGGTCATATGTTGTTCCGTTGTCCATGCGAAGAGCAATAATCCACGCATTGCACGACGAGAAAGCAGCGGGACATTTGGGATTCGAGAAAACATTGTCAGCAATAAGACTCCGATATTACTGGGACAGGATGAGTACAGACGTGAAGAATTACATACTCGCCTGTCAAGGATGCCAGTTCCGTAAAACACCGAGGAAATGTCCACCTGGAAAACTGCAAGAGATTAAAGTGGGACATCCGTTCTTCCGAGTGTACGCTGATCTGAAAGGACCGTTGTTACCGACGAAGAAACGTGGATACAAGTATATAGCGGTATTCATCGACCAACTGACGAAATATGTGATTGCGGTACCAATGAAAACGGCGACGGCTAAAGAATTCGCTAAAGTGTTCGTGAAGCACGTGATACTGGTACACGGTGCACCGCACATCCTTCATACGGACCGCGGACGACACTTTACAGCAGAAGTACTGGCAAAGGTCACCAATGTGTTTAAAATTAAACACACATTTGGAACGGCGTATCACCCAGAAGGTCAAGGCCAAGTGGAGAGACAGATGCAGACAATTGCGGATGGCTTGGCGCAATACCTGAAAGCGGGAAATGAAAGAAAGTTTAACAAGTACCTCCCATATGTTATTTCAGCGATGAACAGAGTCGTACACGCCACAACGGGATATTCAGCATACTATATGCTACACGGCAGAGAAATGACAATGCCGGAAGATGTGGTTACAAAAACGAATATACCCGATGATTATGGGACTCCCGATGAATGGGTAGAGACCATGAAAAAGAACTTGACCTTTGCAGAAGAAGTGGCGAGATGTAACATTAAAGATGCTTATGAGAAAAATGCGGAAATTTATAATAGGAAGAAATCAGAACCGAACTTCAAAGTGGGAGATTTCGTATTGATACGATTACCGAAAGACACGAAACAAGGGAAGAAAGAAAACCAATCGGACTTTAAGTCCAAATACGACAAAGTGTGGAAGATTCTCAGTTTCCCGCGACCAAACGAAGCCGAGGTAATTGAGCAGAACCCGAAGAAGGAAGCAGACTTAAAGGTGGTTTCGATCGACCGGTTGAAACCATGGCACCCTCCATTACCAGATGAGGAAAAGGCAACAGAGCGTACTCAAAAGATTTGGAAAATCTTTTTTCGAACCACCTCTGCTACCCAGAAACGGAGAAAGCTAACGGAAAAAAGATCGAGGCGGAGTCGAAAAATGACTCAGTCACACAACAGAAGCCATTTTTCGAACCACCTCCGCTACCTGAAATGGGAGAAGGTCAAACGAATGGGTTAAACGGAGATAAACCGAAACAGAAGCGAGGAAGGAAAAGGAAAGAGGACAAAGACTTTGAAACTGCAGTCACAATTAAGTTGAACGCAGAAGCTGGTAATTTGGCAGAAAGGTCACTGGAAAAAGATACCGAAACGAGCTCCAAAGTACCAGAGCGTTCCTCCAAAAGGACTTGCAACAATCCTTTTTCGAACCACGCACTGCTACCGCAGATAAAGATGACCTTTTGAAACAGCGAACGGACGCTGAGATGTCAGAGCGTGACCCGAATTTTTTCGAACCACGCACTGCTACCGGTTATGAGAATGACCTCATAAAAAAGAGAGAAGAGGAGATAGAAGCGGTCAAATCAAAAGCTGAACAATTGGGCCGTGATATAGCGAAAGCAATTAACGAGCGGAAGGTTAAACAGAAGAAGAAGAAACCAACTTCTACGGACTTATTGACCCAGAAAGGCGAACCTGAGGACGCAGCCGAGAAAGAACTCCTTGATCGGATAACTAAAGGACGAGAGAACAAATAACCACATAGACATAAATAAGGGGTCACACTTAATTAAAAATAGGAGTTGGGAAGGCAAAAAGAAAGGTCACCACTGTGCAAAAAGCTAACCTTTATTGTTTCGTTTTATAGAAGGTAAGCACAGTTAATGGACAGATTGGAACGACAAAACTCGGATAATTCAGACTCTGAAAGTATCGGAAACCCACTAAAAGCATCAACACCTATAAGAATGGAAGGTGAATACGGTTATGACACCTCATATGGTGAAGGGTCGACGTCGTCAGTGGGAACGGCTCAGAATGAACCTGGAACAGGTCAAGGAGGTTACTATGGCGGCCAGGGATATTACGTGTATCACGATCCAGGACAGCAGACGAGTTATCAGGACACGGTTAACTGGGTGCACCACGGCTCACCTGCCGGAACCCAGTATTCGGGACAAGTAACGGGCGCCCCGTATCAACCGTATCCAGGATCGTATACCCCACCAAGAATGGGACCGCAACCCACAAGATGGGACATGGTGGATTCAGCGGAACTCCACCACGATCACAAAGGTCATCTCGATATTACCGCCTTTTCGGAGACAGGAGGCTTGCAGTTTAAAACGAAAGCGAAAAGTGTTACGAAAGGTCAACTGAAAGCAGTACTAGGACTAATAGAAAAGGTCTGACAGTCAGAAGTGCTGATAACGTGAAAGGTCACCACGTTACAGTGATAGAAAGGCAACAGAGACTGGAAAGTCTCAGCTCAGTAACGGAATAGGCGTAAAAATGATGAAAGCCTTAACATGGAAAGGATTAACGTCGAAAAGGTTACTATGATGGATTGTTTTATAATTGCAGATTGAAGAGAAAGATGGCACAAAAGGTCAAGCCCTTCTAAACGTTCGGGAATGGCGGCAGACATCGATCAGTTTACGGGCTATAATCCAAAGTGTCCGGACTGCTTAAGGAACAACAAAAGGTTGACGAAATTCCCTTGCTACACTTGCTTCACAAGCTGGAAGACCCACATACCGTCACGCTTGTTGGGATCATGGAAGCCAAACGTGGGAACGGACGTTTTCGAAATCTCATAAGCGCAAGAAATTACGGCAGCATCCCAGTAGAAGAGCAGATGCTATTCGAAGATCGTTATCGAGAAGCGATCCGAAACAACGAACCTGGCTGGGATGACACCTTGGAGCCGTTGAAGTGTCCTGAACAGACGTGTATCGGAAGAAATTTGAAGAAGACCAAGCGAAGATGCGAGCTCAGCAGATGGAAGACGAAATCCGCGCGAAAATTAATGCGGAAAATAAGAGAGCAAGTGAACAGGCTGCACGAGAGGGGCTGCCCAGCACATCAAGTTTAGTTGCACCTACAGGCATGGCCAGCCTTAACAGACGAAATGCAACTTGTACGACAGTCACTTATCATACAAATTGAAACGTTAACGAAAGATCCAGCTGCCATGTCAGACGAGGTATTCAAAATGCTGTTGCGGGAGAAGAAACGACTTCAAGACGGGTTCGCGCCGGCACCCTATAAAGAAGGAGATCGAAAGACGTATGGATGACCTACGTAAATCTCGCCGAACCGAAAGCGATGTGCTGCAGGCATTCAGAATTTTAAACGGGACGAAGGCTATACGACCACGTTCGCCCCGCATAGAGAAAGGTCACGCGGACATTCACGAGAATATGAGCGAACTTCTGAACGACAGAGGGAAAGGTCCGCGAACACTCTCGTGAGAGGACACGTGACTACCCTGTGAAAGGTCACGCAGACATCTCATGACAGAATTACCGTGGCGGAAGAGGATGGGTGCGCCATGGAGACGAAGTTACAGAAACGAGTATTCAAAGGAAAATCGATACGGCAAAGATCTTGGCAACCACAAGAGGACGTGAAGAAAAACGGCGTGCGGAGACGTTCCGTACAGAGCCTGAAAAACAAGGGCATCAGGTGCCGATGGGAGTTGCATTCCGGAATCGCAACGTCAGGATGTCAACACCGAAAGGTCATGGGATAAGACGTGAACATACGCGAAATCGAACGCCTGACCCACAGGATAAGAGATGGCAACAGAGAGCCGCATTTTATGCGACCTTTGACTCGGGCGCAAGTAAAAGGTCATCAAGCACTGAACGGGAAGATTCACCCCCAAAGTATCAGCGGGTGGAGTCAGTGGTTCACGTTGTGGATCCAATTGTGAGCGCCGTACAAGAAGATGACGCGATGGAAGGCACTGGCTCAGTTGTCGAAACCACGTCTCAAGAGAATGTGACTCACCGACGAAATGTGATCTTGGATAGTGACCTTCAACCGGCTTCATCAATGAGTAATGAACCGTCGCAGCCAGCATCAGCAGACCGACGTGAACTGGAAGGTCAAGGCGAACCGGATAATCGTCGCCAAGGTGACCAGCGATTAAACTCCAGATTTAATAACCGACAACCAGAAAGTATCGACATGGAATACAAGACGACTGATATTGATGAACAAACGGTCGAAATTTGTCGATACTTTGGACTCGAGCCGGATTCGGTTGAAGCCAACAAAATTGGCACAATTCTGAGACAGCTGAGCCATTTCTTACTTGACTCGGGATACGCGAGAGAGATTAAACAAGGAGTCGAACAAGGACTTTTCCGTCGGTTATTCATCCACCGCGATTCAGTACGGGACTGTTATCTCCCTATCCGACGGAATGGGCTACACAGTTTGGTGGATTTAAGTTTATTGGATGTACCGCTGGACACAACTGACCCAATCGGGATGACACAGTTCTACTACAGAGACTATCCCGAACGCCAAGAATACGTGGCTCAGTTTGTTCTACGACATGTGAATCCAGCTTTCAAGTTGCTTGCAGCAAGGGCATCGATAGGACTACAGGTGGATCCTAAGGACTATGCCGCAAAAAGGATGGGGCAAAAGGTCTTTGCTGCGAGACTGGCACATTATAAGACACAGAATCAATTGGTGTCTAATACTATGAAGGACGACATTCCACCGTTCTTCCGAGCTCATGTCGCTAAATTGGGACAACCGATGGAACATATCAGCATAGCGCACACAGCTCGAAAGGCGCTGAAAAAGTGTAAGACACGAATGGAAAAGGGCAACTTGACACAGCGCCACGCATCCCAAGTAGAAGAAAGGATTAATAAGATCAAAGATTCTCTGGGAAGCGACTACGTCGAACCGGTGGACGGAATCGAAACTTACATTGATGAATTCTTGGTGAAGAAAAGTGACCGTCGCCCAGACCGTGCGCCTAACCAGATGGGACGACGCGGCATACGAAACCAACAGCTGCGGGATAATCTCGCCGACGTGCAGCGTCGATTGGCGGAAGACCCTGATAATCGAAGACTGCGACTCGAAGAAAATGACGCACGCCATCGACTTGAGGCGGTTAAGCGAAGTCGCCAAGGTAAGGGTCGTGGCCAGCGCGAAGTTGATCCGACAAAGGTCATGGAAGTTGACTCGACGGAACCAGTTGACCGAACTTCCGATCGAAACCAACCAGAAAGCGCTAAGAAACGCCCGCCGAGAGATGGCGAGGGCGATTCAAATGAAATGGAATAGTGTTGACCTTTAGGATCACACTATTGAAAGGACGTCTACGGCATTTGTCGGTACGTCACAAAGATGAAAATGGTGTTGTATAAAGGCCGTGACATATGACATATTAACATTAACTGTATTTGTGTATTTGTTGTTTGCAGCGTTTATAGCACAGAATTGCCTAAAAGAAATCATGTGGAATATCTATTGGGGTTGAAATTGATTCGGTCTATAAAGCCGGCCCCAAGGGAGCAGTTACGGCAGTTAGCCGGCTCTCCTCCTTACGCGATTCAGTGTTATAAATTGACAAGAGAAACTACGGTAATCAAGCCGGATCTCTTGAATACGAAACGGGGCCACAAGCGGCGAAAAAGAGAAAGACAACAGGTGGAATATTGATGAGGTTAACTTAATGCGGCAATTAGCCGGCCTCATTAGAGTTGTTACGGTAAACTATGCCGGCACTCTTTTCAAGCGATTCAGTGTTATAATTAAAACGAGAAAAACTACGGTAATCAAGCCGGATTTCTCGTACTAACGTAAGCCACAAGCGGCGAACAAGAGTCAAAGATTTAAGGTGGAAATTTCATGGGGTAAACTTAATGCGGTAATTAGCCGGCCCCATCAGAGATGCTACGGTAAACTTGCCGGCACTCTGGCCGCTCGAGGCATATTGAAGTTGGATGTGTGACGGAAAGGTCAAACTGCAAATTTTACCAGGGAGGCAAGCAAAGAAGTGCTTGAAGCCGCAGAAAATTGGCTAAGTCCCTCCATGACCTTTAATGGAAGGTTTGACGAGTGGGATGACCTTTGGGATCATTAATTGCCCAACAGAGTCACCGTAATGGAATTCAAGTCGCATGACCTTTGGGACCATTAACCCAAATTGAGTCGCACATCTCAACGGATTGTCTTAACAAAGGATGACCTTTACCAGGGAGGAAGCAAATCACGCTTGTCTTCATTGACGTCCCTCCATGACCTTTATGGATCTCATTTGAAGTCGTACAATTGATACGCACCTTATTCCAAAGACTGAAGCAGTATTCTTAAGTCGTACTTGATACGCACCCGATTCTCAAAGCGGATTGTGATGAAAGTCGCATTACGGATGCGCAGGATTGCTCAACGGAGCGGAATGGGCCAACGTGCGGAAAACGGTGGACAGGACCTGTGACCTTTACGAGTCAGAAATGGAGGATCCTAGTCTACATTTGATTAAAACTTTTGTTGATCTGTTACTGTTGATCTGTTCCTAATGATTTGATAGTATTTTTATAGTTGGATCTCTTTATTCACATTGTATTAAATGGAATTGTGCCTTTACGGAATTGATGTGATAAAATGGATTAAGAGAATTTGATGTTTTTGAGCACGCACAGACACCGGCGACCGTCGTCTTCTCGTGGATTCGGGAGTGTGTCCAGCCTCACAGGAGCTCGGCATCCCCCCAGAGGCATGTGAGACCGGGATCACTAGCGTTCACGTCAGTGGCGCTATGCCTGTGGCGCTACGCCTTAGGATTACGTGTCTGTGTTGTGTCTCTTCTGATTGGCTTGAGTTGTGTTAGTGGGCGCGGCATAGCACGTGCTGCACAGTGTTACACACTGTTGAACGGGCTCCACGCTTTACGATCGAGCTGCGCCGATCATTATTGATTTTTCTGTTCTCCAGACTTTTCAATATTAAAAAGTCAGCGATTTACGGTGCGACGTTTGTGTTTCCGCATAGCTCGCGATCCATATCGTATCGCTCGCTTCCACGGGATCTATTCCGTTTAGGTCTCCGTATCTGGATTACAGTTGGATCTAGCATTAGATAGTCTTCTCGGAATTTCGGTTATTAATGGACAAATTTACGCATTAGGAGGACTTGACGATGAATGCAAAAGTTCCATTGAAATATACGATGAAACGTCGGATTTATGGGTCATGCAAGATGTACGGCTACCCAAGGCAAGGGATGCGTTTGGATGCGTCACACTCACCATCAAGAGATCGTAAAGCGTATTGACGAGCTAGACAGTCAGAATGAGCGGTCAGTTCGGGTTATTGAAGCATAAGTACATGTAAATCACGATGCCGGTTTCCCGTTTCATATCCCCCGCTTGCGCTGTCGACTATTCAACTGCGAACTGTAAACTGCTTTGCAAGTGCTAAATAATAAGCAGTTAATTAGAAAATTTCCTACAACGCAATTCCATTAACCACTTCGTTCACTGCTTCAACTAATAACCTTTTGGCAGCGCGACGATTCGCCTAGGGCAACCAGTCGCAGGGCTATTGCTCGCAAATATTTCACCGCAAATTCATTTCGGGCGCGATGTTTCGTCGCGTTACAATTGGTCGACAGGGCATCACATCGCAAGACATTCCGTCTTGTAGGCATTTCGACGCCAGGACATTTCGTCGCAAGGAAGTTTCGACAAAGTGACACCTCGCCTTTTTCTCAGCTTGCTAAAAAGTCAAAAATTTAAGAAGGTCTAAGAATAACTGAAGAAAGTATAAGAAACCTAAGAAAGCGAAAGAAAAACTAAGAAACCTAAGAATTATATAAATATTAAATAGCATAAAGAAGGATTCATTTGATTTTTGTTGAACTACATAATAAATTCCAATTATTTTAATACCCCACAAATAACGGAATGTGGTATCTTTGGGCCGGTCACCGCCACAAATGCACATTTTCCCGATGGTGTTTGTTAACGGATGCACTCATGCACGGTGGCCGCATATATATTCACGCTACATGTAACGGGCGAATCTAGGCGGGTTTCGATAGGGGACTAAAGAACTCCACTTGTCGCTGCGTTAAAAATTCTACCAACTGGAATGCGAGCATTAGGTGTTTAGGTCTATAACGGTTTCCGGTTGATTTTGCATTGTTCAATATATTTTTCAGCGTCGGATAAAATCTGGTTTGCAAAATTATGCGCATCCATGTTAGCTTTCCCATCCATGCAGTAGGGAAATCCTGGGTCTCTTATCCAACTTATAGTTGAGATTCTAAGTTGGGCTTGGATACAGCGTTCTTGACCTTGGCGGGGATACCCTTGCTGCGGGAAGAGGAAAGGTTCAGCGCTACACACGGTGCTTTGCTGGCTTTCTGCCGTCTGCGATTTTCTTTTCTTCAAAGACAAATTTTCTCCACAACGAGCTTTGAGAGCACTAAGCCGAGCGCGCAGCATGAAATGATGAGCCATCGTGAAGGCGGCCCAAATCATCTGTTGGTCGTATTGTGTCAGGAAGGTAAGGTGTAATCGGCTTGGAAGGCGTCCCAATAGCTCGGAAGTAACCGGAAATCGCTGATCTGGTTGCGTTCCAATCAGTCGGCGGGCGCCTGTAATAATCTGCTTCAGTCTGGGATCGGCCGTCGGATCGGCCATTTTTTGCGATATGTGACGTCTGGCGTCAGCGGATATATCCACGTTTATAATTGAGGATGACGACTTTCGCTTGAAGATGTATGCCACAAAATCTTCGACTGTTTCCAGAATGGCTGGCCATGGTTGGTTAATTACTGATCTGCAAAACTGCTCGGAGCTTCGCTTTCCATTTGCGTACGCTCTTCGGGTAGAAGTGGCCACTCGGGCGGCGAGAAGGTCACCGGCGCCAAGGTTGTTATGGTAGGGCTAACAGGAATATTACAAACGTTAACTCCACTGATCAACATCCAGTTTCTGACACATAACAATGTGAGCATAAAAGGCAAGGATTCGCACATGCCGAAAAATACGAATGCGATTAATAATGCAACTAAGCCAGCACGAGATAGAACTGACTGCTAAGTAAGTAATCCGCAGGAGAAATGGCAGTGTGCGTACAGTACGCAAACAGGAAAGGCACGCGATTCGCTGGCACACATGCTGGTGCTACATTCCAGAAAGGGGGAGAAAAGCAGCCGTCGGTTCGCTTAAATTCCCGCGGCTAGTCACAGGTGCTCTACTGACCGGGGATGGCAACCAAAATCCGAATCGATACTATCATCATTTTCTCACTTTGAGTATTAAGGACAACGGCCCGGTACATAGCGTCAAAAATGGGATAAATACACTAAAACGTTTGCTTTCGCGCACTCCGAATCACTTTTTTGTATTACTTTATATCATACTAAAGCTAAATGATTTGTATACACTGTTCTGAAAACCGTTTGCGCTCGCAACATAAGGTTGCCGAGATATGGCGTACTAAAATGGGCGAAAAGTTTAAATGCATTGTTGTGTACGAGTACCGAAAAGTCTGATTATTATCCGATCGTCCTGAAACTTTGCTATAACAGACACATAGCCATGAAGACGTAAGAGAACCAATTTCAGGTTCCTAGCACTTTCCCATAATTTTAAAATGGATTTTAAAATTTTTGAAATTCGTTTTAAAATCGGCAAAAAATGCTATGGATCTGGAATTGGTTCACTTACGTCGTCATGGCTATGTGTCTTTTATAGCAAAGTTTCAAGAAGATCGGGTAATAGTCAGACTTTTGGTACACCACAATGCATTTAAACTTTTCGCCCATTTTAACAACCATATCTTGCAACCTATGTTCAAAACAATAATATACAAGTAATTTTGCTTTAGAACGACATAAAGTTCAACAAAAAGGTGACTTGGAGTGCGCGAAAGCAAAAGTTTTAGTGCATGTACCCCATTTTTGACACCATGTACCGGGCCATTGTCCTTAAACCAATTACCAATGCACGCTGCACTGAAAAGTAATAAAGTACGTGGATGTACTTCTCCTGAGTGACAGTGACCCCAGTCTATTGTTTTCCAGAAGGCTTTGATGTTGGGCGTTGTGTGGCTGTTACCGGGGTCATTAGGTAAAGTCATCATAAACTACGATCTAGGGAAACTTATGTAAAAATTAAAGCCACATCTTGCCGCGAAATTCGTGTGTAATAAATAAAACAAAATTTACTCTGTGTAGTTTTTATACTGAGCAAGAGTTAATGTTTTGAAATAAAGCATAAATGCTAATAAATATTGTTTATTCGCTAGTGCGTAGAAACTTGAACTGATGCACAGTCTGAACGCCGTCGCTGCTAGGAGTATCACGGGCACGCCTAGGAATGTGGGCGTGGTCCCTCAGCCTATAAAGCGTCGGTGGTTGGCGCCAGTTACTCCCACTCCTCGGAGGCGGGCAACCGCTGCGTCACTACCACCGCCCTGCGGGGTTCGGGGCAGACGGGAGCAGTGGCGGACGCATCGTGGAGTGATGGTGCCAGAGCGATGAGTGCAGTAATCAGCAGACTGTCAATCTGCTTGACGTTACGCATGCATTCAATTCAATAACGCGCAACTCCGTCATATAACACCTGGGCCACACTGCGCAGAGAGAATATCCGGTGGTTGTTGCACGACAAATAAAAATGGGGTCGGCCAAGTTTACATTTGCCTTTTCTTTGCCTTTGCCTTACCGCTTTGCTTTTTTCAACATTGCCTTTACCTTTGCCTTTGCCGCCGCGAACACCTTACCGTCCTAATTAGCCGTCCCAAAAAGCCGTTTGAAATAACCTTTACCGTTGGCTTTAACCGTTGCATAGCAGACTGCCGTCATACACTTTATATCTTTTCTGGACTTTGTTAGCATTGACACAGCTTATTGAATAGTTTAGTTTCAGACTTGAATACTGTAAAACAAAAATTTGTGGTAGTTCTAGCATAAAAAAATATTCAATATAAATTAGCCTTCTCAAACACTAATTTGCACTTCAGTATTTACAGAGTACATACGGGTAGGCATTATTTCAGGTAAATCGGCAATCAAAATTCATATTACAATTAAAATAATTACATCATAATTCATTTATAATCCGGCCAAATGCCTAATGGTTTCACATCTTTATAGGGAAGAAGGCCCCTTAAAAGCGACCACAATAATAGTTTGTTAAAAGCTGAACACAAGCGGCATTATTACAGACGGCAAGCTAGGACCAGGATACATTCAGGATAGCTCTGACAATAGAATTCTGAGCAAATTAATTCTACTTAATTTTAATTAATTTATAGTAATTCCATTTAATTCTAGTTAATTTCTCTCTGTATTAGGGGGAAACTAGAGTCCTCTGCGTAGTAACGAAAGCTGAATGACCGCAATATGGACAGCACTTAGCGCAGAGAATTGTTCAGTTACTCAGCCGTGCCGGCAACGGTGTTTCGTGATTTTTCGTGAAGGTAAATCGTTTTTGCAGTCGTCCAAGAACTCTATAATAATTATCTATAACTCTATAATAATTATAATATCTACTCTATAATAATTATAGAGTTCTTGAAGCATCACCATCTCAACATATATCATACAGGTCACAGTTCTGTATGACTACCAAGTTGCGAGCAGTTATTTCTATCTAGCCAGGACTCTGTGCCAGCGAGTATCCGTCTTGTTAATTCTATTATCATGCTATGAGAAATTGATAACACATACAACATAAAATGGTTGCCGTGTTTTCTTTTCGTGCCTTATGTATTACTGAAACAATAATTTCGTAAACGTTCACGGTGAAGATACAACAGCGCTAAAAATTCCGAAAATGGTAAAGTGTTTGGCGGCTTTGTGTTATGCAACGGTTAAAGGTTATTTTGAACGGCATTTTGGTAAGGCTAAGTAGGACGGTAAGGTGTTCGCGGCGGCAAAGGCAA